CCTGGGTGTTCCCTGAAAGGGCAGGAGGTGTTCCCCACGGTAGTGACTGGCTTTGCTGTCATCTGCCGCACACCGCGGCGCCTCCTGCCCTTCCCACAGCTTTGCCTTTCTCTCTAGTTCCCCCGAAGGTTAGCAGCCACAAGTGAGCTCTGGCGGAAGGCCTCCCTCATCTGTTACTGAACCTTCTTCCTTTGCCTGTCCCCATCCCATGACCTTCTGGGGGGAAGGGAAGATGGCCTTTATCTCTAAATTCTCCCCAGGTGCGCAGACGCTGTCGCATAATCGTGTATCAATAATGCGCCAGTGGATGACCTCAGCTGGGGAGATGCTCTGACTTTGGACTTGAAGGTTTTATTTCCAACGAAACTTGGTTGCCCCAGTTTTTCCCCTTAGAACTACCCAGCCACAGGTGAACCCAGTTTGCTTGTGATGTGGTTTGCCAAAAATAAGTTTAGGGGTCTTTCTTGGGAGGGTACTCAGGGTTGCCTCCAGGGAAAAAAAAAAGTGCCTCCAGGCAGCTGGGAAGCTTGGGAACCTGGAGGAGAGCATTTCCTAGGCCCACCGTTGGTCCCAACAAAAGCATGGGCTCCTGAGGAAAAGCATGGGCTCCTGAGGTCAGCCCTGCCCAGAAGGGATCTAGCTGAGGGCTGCTAGATGTGGGCTTTCTGGAGTACCCAGGACTGCACAGGGCAGCTGGGAGATCAGGTAGGGGTAGATCAGGCAGCTGTGGGCTGGCGTGGGAGCAGTAAAGCTACTTCCAATCCGATCCTGGTCACTGCTTGATAAATCCTTTCATTTTTTGCAGGTGTATTCCTGCTCCAGCCGTCTCTGCCGACTGCTAGGTCCCTGAGCAACCACCCTGGCTCCAGGGGAAAGGCCTCCCTCTTGCTTGCTGGGGGGTCAAGGCAGTGAGAAAGAGCCTGGAAACGGAAGCTAGGAGTCCGTGTGTCCAGCAGTGTGTCATACTCACCTAGAAGCTGTCCTTTTAGGGTGTGGCAGCTCTGGACGTCTGTTTGCAGTCTTCAGTTTTGTCTTATAGATTCCAGGAGCCAGTGGCTTAGCAGCTCAACTTTGAATTTCAGAAGGAGGGCTGTTTCCCAGACACCCCTGGCCATTCAGGGAGCCTGAGATACCCCCACCTCTGTGGCCCCTCCTTCCTCACTGAGACATTGTGGTCTTCAGCCAACATCCTCGATGCTGGTCTCCTCCTCCTCCCTGGTCTGGGCCTGCCCCTTTCCAGGCACAGCACCTCCTCCCAGCCCTCCCCCATCTTCACCTGGCCTTACCCCCGTCACCTTTCCCTGGCCTGAGAGATGGCGGGAGTCAGCAATTTCCGCCAGAGGGAATCGTCAGCTGTGCGCTGATGGGCACAGTGAGGCAGAGGCATCCCAGGAATCTGATCCTCTTGCCAGGTGGTTCCCATTTCCTGGGATGGTTGGAGGCTAAATGGTGAGCTGGTATGAGGAGGAAGTTCCATCTCCAAAAGAGAAAGGCACCCCAGTCCACAGGAAGGCCTGCAGAGGTTTACAGGAGAGGGGGTCCCCAGAGAGAGAGAGAGCTGGGACGGGCACAGACCGGATCACAGACCAGGAGCCCTCGAGAAGGGTTGGTTTGGTTTCTCTGGGACCCAGTTTGGTGACAGCATGCATGTTTGTCTCTCAGAAGGGGTGGGGACCGATCAAGAGAGCAGAAATGCTGGGGTGATTGATTCTGGTTACCAAAAGCCCCAGGTCTCCCTGAAGCCGTGGGGATGCTAAATGTGGTTTGCTTAGAGCACATTTGTTGAAAGCAGACAGTGCCTTTCTCCCCCAGAATTCCAAGACTGGTCACTTTGTCTGAGGGTCTTTGATCGGCACAGCACTGCCCTTACCCCCGGCCCGGTGTTTAATCATCTTCAGCTTGTATACGCAGACCCTGAGACCAAAACTTCATCCTTCCTCCTGTCAGTCCTTATCTGAGCTGCTCTGAGGAACTCCAGGACCTCTGGGAAGTGGCTTGTTTAATTGCGTAATTGCAAGTTATCCACTGGGATCTCCTTTGAGGCCTTCTCCACCCAAAGCCTGAAAAATATCCTTTCAGCCTAAGTGCCAGCCCTTGGCCCTGGTGCTCAGAAGTATACCTTCATCAGCCGGGCGGGGAGGCGGGGAGAGGTCTGTTTTGTGCAACTCTGTCTGGGATGGGGCAGTTGCTACTTAGGGAGCTTGAGGCCCAGTAGAAACACTGTACATAAATGACAGGGGAGGTCAGTGGGACGGAGAAGTCAGGGAAAGGTGGGGAGGTGACAGGACCAGCCTGGGGATCAGTGGGCGGCCTCAGGTGAGGCCCTTACCTCTGCCTTTGCTTGGTTCATGGGCACAGAGAGCATCGAGCAGATCAGCTAAAACCTCAGCTTCTCTCAGTGTAACCAGCCGGGTCTGCCCTCAAGGCAACTGACAACCTGAGGCCAACAGAAATCCACTGAGACATGCCGGTTTGAAGAGAAACCCTGAGGAGGAAGTGCCTTTCCATGGAGGACTATAAAGAGGACCCCAGACAGTGACATCAGCATGCTGCTCTGCGCACTGGTGGGGCAAGGGGTCTGGACAGGCTGGGGCTGAGGAGCCCCCTGGGGTCTTGCTTGCTGGCTAGCTCACCAGTGGCAGCAAGGACAGGCTGACCTGATGTCTGAGCTTGGCCCTTGGACTTCTTGGTTGCTCCGGTCATACCCAGCCCAAGCAGACACACTCTCAGTGGGCTGCCCAGCTGGGCTTTTGAGCTGCAGAATTTGCTTATGGACCCAGGTGGCAGGTTAGCCTTGCCCCGGTGGCTGTACTCAGAACCTTAATGTCACAGGCACTATCTCACTGAAACGTCCCGGGTACGAGTTTTCTCATGCTACGGATGGGGAAACTGAGGCTCACAGAGGCTGGCTGGGCTCCAGAGCACACCGTAGGCAGTCTGTCTGGCTTAACCACTGCTTTATATTGCCTTCTACAGGCCTCAGCCTCGGACACTGAATATCCCCTGTAAGCAGAAGAGAATCTCTTCCAAATGTTTAGATAGACCCAAATCATGCTAGAAGCCAGGACAGTGGGGAAATTTCCTTTCATAGTGGAGTAGTTCATTCTTCAAAGAAACAGAGGCAACCTCCTGAGCCCCTGTGGACCCAGGACTGAGGCAGACACCTGGGCAGTGCCACAGGGCACCTCTCAGGAAGGTCCTGGCCATCTTCTCCAGCCCCTTCTCTCTTCCAGAACCTCTGAGAGGCCGGGAAAAGATGACTGAAGTGTTGGTCCCCCTTGGACAAGCGTGACCTTCTCTCTTCCAGAACCTCTGAGAGGCTGGGAAAAGATGACTAAAGTGTTGGTCCCCCTTGGACAAGGGTGACCTTCTCTCTTCCAGAACCTCTGAGAGGCCGGGAAAAGATGACTAAAGTGTTGGTCCCCCTTGGACAAGGGTGATAAGGTCCCACGACAAAGTCCTGGAGCCAACAATTGTGTGTCCTCCCCATGCCACCCCATGCCGAATGCCAGGCCACATCCGCCCTCCATCCCCCAAGCGGTACCCAAGCGGCTCCTCTGCCTGGGCGCCCTCTCCCCACCGCCTTACTCTCCAATCCTGCTCACTCTGCCAGACCTACCGTGGCTTGCCTCAGAAGCCGGGAAGGATTTGGATGCAGGTGGTTTATTCAGGACACCATTCCAAGAGGCGTGGAGAGGGAGTTGGGAAGTGAGACAGGGAAGGGCAGGCACCACAGGTGTGTTAACAGCAGGTCACGTGGTCCCACTGGGATCATCTG